TTTTTGTAAAGAAAAGTAATTTTCCTCATGAGAACCAGCAAAAAAAAAGAAAAAGAAGGTGAAACATGGTAAAATGGTCACATCTTTCTATCCTTGTCAGGACATTTGGTCCCCACCAAGATATAAGATCATGCACACACACACACACACACACACACACACACACACACACACACACCATAGTGATTTGCTGAACTTGCTTATTATCCTTACAAATATCCAGGTGTATCTCCTGTGTTATTAAGGGCTTGAGGCAATCACTGTACAAAAGGTGGGTAGCAAAAGCAAACAAGCAACTTTTCTACACACAGCTTATCAAGTGAAAGCTCATGACTGCCTCCGTCTGCCCCGGGAGTTTGAGCGCTGAAATTGGGTTTTAATTGGTTCTTCCCGCAATACCACTCACTTTCAGCACAGGCTGGATGGAGCTCGGTGCTAAGCACAAACAGCTTGAGTGTGTTTAATGTGCTACATGACCAAAGACAAACTATAAGTTTAGAAATCATTCAGAAGCTACCTGACTAGACAGAGACACACTCTGACACACTCTGAAATAGATAATTAAATTTGCATTTGATACCTCAAACATGACATTATGACTTATTTACTACAGTTCTACTTCCCATAGCCATACAAATCACAGTTTCAAGGTTTCTGGGTTGACCATGAGCTTGTTTTTTTAGTCTGTATGGAGCTTCGCATGTTCTCCCTGTGGAGGTTTCCTCTCACCTCCCAAAAACACACCAGTAGCTGCACTGACTACTCTAAATTAGGTGTAATGTGTGTGTGCTGTGATGGATTGGTGTCACCCATCTGTCCACAACCCTCGACACCCAGAGTTTCTTGGATAGCCTCTGGATTATGCAGTTACTATAGATGAATGAATGAAAGTGAATGAATGAATGAATAAAAGCATTAATTAGCATTAAGTAGGTTACTGATACTGTGTGCTTGTGCCAAGGTAATGACATTAACGCAGATAAAAAGGAAGGAAATTAGGCTTAATGAAGTTTATGTAAATTTTACTCATTTGTTTTTTGGGCTAATCAATGCTAATGAATTTTTAGGTCAAATCATTTAGGTGTAAACAACAGCAGTTTTGTTCCCCTCCCTTCTTCTCAAGTTTGATGCCACAGCGCAGATAGCACACAGTATTATTCAGTTGCTTACTATAGTTAGTCAAGCGTTAACGGCTAACAACAAGAAGTTTATGTTTATGTATGTCGAATAATCACATAATTACAAGTTATATGAAGGGACGTGAATGGAAGAGTGTGGAGATTTAATAATTCATCACCAAGAGGGATGCTCTTTCACAATGCAGACCAGTTTGAATTACGCATTATGATAATGAGTCTTTATTGGTCACATATACATTACAGCACAGTGAAATTCTTTTCTTCGCATGTTAGGAGGTTGGGGTCAATGTGCAGGGTCAGCCATAATACAGTGCCCCTGGAGCAGAGAGGGTTAAGGGCTTTGCTCAAGGGCCCAACAGTGGCAGCTTGGCAGTGCCAGGGCTTGAACCCCTTCTGATCAGTAACCCAGAGCCTGGTAGTGCTGGGGCTTGAACCTCTGACCTATACTGAAGGTTGAGTCAGTGAGTTAGTCAGTGAATTTTTTTTTTTTTTTATTATAGAGAACTCTGTTTAGTTTATTCTTTCGCTTTGTCACACTTTTGCTCAGCTCTTTGTTTGCAGTTGCTGTTACAGTCTAATGACTGAAATACATGAAAAATATTCTGAGGAGAAGGAACAATAGAAATCAAGAGACAGGCTTCTCTTCTAGTATGCATCGCCTGCTTGGTTTTGTTGAAATCCTGTGTGACCATCTTAATCATCCTGAAATCACCTTGGATCAGACATGCTGTACCTCATATCTGAGCTTCTGAATGTCTGTTCCTGTGGACAAACAGCTCTATGAGAGAGACATAGACACACACCCACATGCATGCACTTCTACCACTGGCTTTTAGGTCAATTCAATTTGGGATTCAATTTCTTCTGCACTGGAGGTAATGTGCTTGTCATGTTCAATAAGAGATTGTTTCCCCTGTGAAGAGCTGCTTCGGTATACTAATAAGCTGCTTTAATAGGGTCGTCCTCTGCGTAGAAAAAAAAAATTAAATCATGCTTTGTTATCACAAACAAGAACACACTGGGGGGAAAAAGCCTCAGCGTCCATCATCATATGAAACAAACTATGGGGTTCATATCCTTCAGGAATATAAGATCTTGTTTTTTTTGTTTTGTTCTCACATCAGTAGCAATTTATGTTTGCCATTTACTGAACTAATCACAGGCCAGCATGCAGATCTGTATTGACCTGCGGCCAGTCACATTAAAACCTACTGAGTTTAGAGCTGCGGTGATTGAGTTCCTTAAAGAGCCACGCTTTAGTGCACGCTAAATTCACTGCTGTGCCTTTTAAGGATTGGTCTTTCATAGGCAGCACACGATCAATAGCGAAACTGACCGCTGCCTCTGTCATGCGTCTAAAGCTTTTATGCATATGACAACCTTTTTCCCAAATACACACTGGCTTAAAAGTCATGAGGTACTCAAGCTCAGACTTTATGATTAATATGGATCCGTTGATAAACAGACACTAGTAAATATCATATGCTGTTTTTATATTGAGAATATTATATTATTATATTGAGAAGACTTGACATTCACTTCAACTGACAAGAAAATCGTACTCTTAGTGCCTGACCTAGTGAACCAGTATGAGGATGTATTTATTGATAGAGGCTTCAAAGCACTTCTATAAGTCGCTCTGGATGAGAGCACCTGCCAAATGCCTTAAATGTAAATGTAAAAAGCCTCATAGTTTTAAGTCTCCTCCAGGAGCAGCTGAGTTCTAATATGCGTTTCCTAATTGATAAATTAGCTTGTCAATCACATGATTGAACCAGCCAGTGACCAGTGATGCAAAAAAAGAAATAAAAATTAAAAATCAAACAAAATAAGCCGGTTTAAAAGCGATCAGTCATCAGGAAAAATGACTGCATCTGTTAAATTTATTTGTTAAAATTAAGAAAGACTTGGCTTGAAGGGTCATAAAGTCCTGCTTTACACATCAATTGAAAGGCCTATGTTTTCCCCCTCGTCCCACATCTTAAAAAAACACACCGTGCACACATCTGCAACTCAAACATTTTCAACCATCACAATCGGACAATCTGTCCTGCAAATAAAAGTCGGTGTTATCGTGTAACTGGCCAAAAGGTCATTTGTTGTTGTTTTCATCATCGCCTTCATCTTCTGTTGATCCTCCCCAGTTGAGCAGAGGTCTGCGGTCAGGTGGAACACACGGTCTGATCCTCTGCCAGCGGTTAGGAGGCCATATGATGTGAGATGCTCTGCCATGGAGGAGTCCGAGTGAAACCTGCAGAAGGGGAATCCTGTTTACTGACCTTATAAAAAAGTTTTAAACATTCATACATCAATAAAAAAAGAGCTAGAGAACTGAACAGTCTGTAAGAATAATTATGAGACATATGATAAAGGCATGACCCCTCTTTTTCATATCATTGTCCAAGTCTGTCTTTATTATATGATTTTTACCAATCTCAATGTGAAAGAGAGACCGTGAGAGTGCTGTCACAACGTGACATCAGTTATCAGATTCAGTGAGCGTCTTTATGAAACATTTTTACCAGGGATGCAGTAATACCAATCTTTTCTAACCAGGTATCAGTGTGTACAATATTTTTTGATACTTGCTGATACCAATTCCAATCGTGATACTGAAATGAGTAACCTAATTTAGTTTTAAGCAATCAGGGGTGTCATGGGAACATTTTATTTAGCTCTGTTTGTGTCGGTTGCTGCAATATGCTGTAAAAATGTAATCCTCGTGTGGAGTTTTATGTTTAATTTGTTATGGTGTTTAAACAGCTACTTTAATCTTTAATAGTCTGTGAGGGCGGCTGACCTGAGTGTTCACAGCGAGATCAGTCATTAAAAATGAGCGCAAGGTACTGTGAAATCTGTGCACCTTGAGTCACAAGCAATGTGTAATCGTTGGTGAAAGGAAGCACACATGTCTCAGCGCTTGCAGAACCTAAATGCTCTCTCTCACGTGTGACAGTTTTTCTGCATTCTCGTGTCGCTGCTCCACTGTATGTCTGCAAACTAACACTTAATAATGATAGGTCACTAATATTCAGGCCTGTCAGAATGATCTCCCAACACTCGCCCAATCTCCCAATTGTTATATTCAAAATTCACATCAGACGATTCCCTATACATATCTGTCTGGCAACAGGATGTTCATTCTGAGTTTGTTGATTAATATATTTCTACAACTATTCTTTAATCTATAAACTACTTACTTTAATTCAGTAAGTTAGCCAAAATTGATTTGGCCATTCTCACTAGAATGTCTTGTAAATGACAAGATTTAGTACATTAGTATAGAATAGTGCTTTATTTATTTTTATTTCTTTGGTTTCGCATTTTTTGGACAAAAAGCCAAACACAATTCTTATTTATTAGATTATTCAATGTTAATAAATTGCTCTGTGTGCATTATAACACTATGGCTATGCTTCTATTCTTGAAGAGGCATAAGATCAACAGAAAAATAAATTAAACTTTCATTATCATGACACATCTACAACATGCTCTTATTTTTGCTACCTAACGTATACTGATACTGTTATCAGTTCTCTTATAAAGTTGCCAGATCTTTAAATTATGTCTAGCAAATCTAAGTGATTAGTGTTTGTTTATTGGCAAACATCCATCTATTTTCTTTACAGTTTATCCTGCACAGGGTTATGGGGAGCCTGGAGCCTATCCCAGGGAAATCAGGGCACAGGACAGGGGACACCCTGGACATGGTTCCAACCCATCACAGGGCACAATGAGAGCGCATACACTCTACAATTCACACACTACGACAAATCAGTAGAGATGCCTACTTTGGAGAGGAGGAGGAAACCGGAGTACCCAGAGGAAACCCCCGAACCACAGGTAAGAAAACGCAAGCTCTGGAAGAGGCGAGATTCAAACCCCCAACCCTGGAGGTGCGAGGCAAACATTCTAACCACTAAATCACTGTGCCACCCCTACTGACAAATGTATATTAATAATATTGGCCTTGAGGACTCTGTATAAGGTTCTTTTAAGACACATGAGGTAGATGAAGCTGTGAGAGCAGCACAGCATTCAAACACTCCACATTTTGGAAGATTTATAAGTTTTCTGCTTATAAGGGAGGTGATATGAGCAGTTTAGCAAAACACATGATGACAAATGTTTTATTGCCAGCATCCTCAACTAAATTCCAGCTCCACTTGCAATCTCGTTGTTCTCTTGCCATTCATTGTGTGCAAGCAAGAGAGAGAAAGAGATGTGACATTAGCTTGTGTAGCCTATCCATAAATCCTCAAGCACCAACAGTAGAGGAATTCATATCTGACCTTGATTTTACTCATTTAAAACAGGTTTCGGCTCAGATCTGGGTTCTTGAGAGCATCCATATCACTCAGACAGTGTCCCCCTTGGTCAGCTGTGCCTGGAGGAGAGAGAGCTATCTGCTTTAATTTAAACACAGCTAGCAAACGCTTGTGATTGGCTAAGCTAATCACCCAGAAAGACAATTATACTTTCATGAACTCCAGCCAGAGATTCAAAAACAACTCCAACTCTAAAGTTTAATTAAACAGTAATAATAAAAAAAAATATTTAAAAATAATTAAAAAGTTCAATAATAAAAAAATATTTATACTTATAGAACAATTAGGGAGAAATTAGGGACAACAGTTATAATGGTTACATAATGGTTAAAAATGATAAATCACAATTATTTTTGCTTGTTAGTAAAATAATAATTATTTGCTACAATTATTTATTGTATAATTTAGGCCAATTTGTGCCGATTTAGGTTTAAAATATTGCACTCTATTTTTTATTTTTATTTTTGTTTTAACTCAAAGAGAAAACAGGCTCTCACTACAGACATCTGCACCACCCGGGAGCCCAAGTTCTATATCTTATAAAGTGATAGCACATGCTCTTTACTGTTCTTTGGCTTTAAGGATCAACCAGAGCCAATTCAATATGAAGTAATCAATCTGGCTGCAGAAGGGGTGCGAGGGCCCAGTGTTCTGAGGAAGCCAGACAAAGCTTCAAGTGCTTACTGCTCTCAGAATAGTCCAGTTTGGAGGATTTTTTTGCAAATACCTGGAAGGCCTTGAAAGGATTAGCTGAACAGGGGGTTAAGGGACGTCGAGGTCTCTGGGTTAAACTATCTTTAGTGCCATGGTATGGTATCACAGCTAAACCCAAAGCATATACCTCCTGAATACTATGTGATGAAACACATTAAACCATTATTGAGCTTCAGAAAAAGTTAATAAGTGAGATATCATTATCAGTGGCTTAGTGAGAGTTAATTTAAACAGTGGAACTGCAAAACCAAAACCTGTAGCAACACAGAAGACATGACATTAGTGTTTCAGCATCCACACGTGACGTCCACGGCTCTAATGAGATTTGTGCTTTCCCTCTTCTAACACAATTAACTCACTCCATTTAGGCCATGATATTAAACTGATGAGTCAGATATGTAAGGAATAAAACACTCCAGGAAGTGCTGTCATAGGAAAATAAACAACAACTGGTTGGTGTGATGCATCTAGATGTGAAGTGGAGTTACTTTGACCACTCCAAATTGCATTATTTTCCTATAACAAACACATCCTGAAGTTTTTATTCCTCATATACCTCAGTGATTTGACAACGATTACAATTTTGAATCAGCAAACATGACTGAAGAGAGCCATCTCTGGAGGTCTGCCCACATGTCTTAATGTAAGAATCTCTTAAACTAGCATTATGATAACCTTAATTCGCATATGTAAAACTTGGGACTGTTAATTAGCCTTACCTGGCTTACTTGTTTTGATTTAATGTTGTTAGTGTTATTTCCACCGAATCGAATGTTAACTAACATAATTTTTATTCCAAATAAAACTATTGTATTTTTAATACTAATTTTTATTCCAAATAACACTACTGTAGTATAGTATAACACTACTAATGTCATGATTCCAAAATGGAGACAGATGCAAGTGCAGAATTTCTTTAATTTATAGCACAACCAAATATAAAAAGAAGAACTGTGAATCAGCAGCAAAACACTAAAGCTAAGAATAAATATAAACCAAAGATCAAAACACAGCAACAGGGACAAATGTAAGAAAGAATGCAGTGCAAACTGTGGCTATATATATTCAGTGCTTATTAACAGGAACGTGATGTGATGCAGCGGCTGCTGGGAACTGTAGTTCAGAGTTCCTTCTATGATTACATGACAACTAACATTACAATTTACTTTAGTTGAGCTCCACTATACTATACTCTACTATACTGTCATAACCACAGTGTAAGTTTGCTTTTACATACACAAGATGTTCTGTGCAATTTCATAATGACATGGTTTGAAACTAACACCTGCCAAATGTGGGTAAAAATCAACTGCAGCTGGTAACGATGTCAAATTACTAGCCAATATGGTGGATTATTTTTCACAAATTATGTTCACTCAATTTGCTGGTGAAGTTTATGTAATCTGCAAAGATTTCATACACATACTCAATTCATGAATCGATATGAATGTGAATACTGCCGAATGGGGCAGCACTTGCGCATTTCTGGCTTACTTCAACACAAGCGTCACTAAGCAACAAATAAAAGGTCTGCTGGTTTGTTTGCTTTGAAGGGACTAGCGCAGACCCAAGAAACTTAATAATGTTGGGTAACTAACCCCAGTGGAAAAAGGAAAGAACCACATATCAATGAAAAAGCACATCTGCCCATTTTTAGCAGACTCTGGCCTAGCCTGTGTATTTGTACTTTTTATGAGACCCCAAGTTCGTTTTGTTCGAGGTGGTGTTTGTCTTGCTTGGATCTTTGTCACATTTTTCACCCCTGATGAGTTTGCATCCCTGCTCTCGTGAACGCGTGGTGGAGATCTATGTGGAAGTGAATATATTTTGTGAATAAAAACTTAATTTGGGGTTTTATTTGCACACACAAAGCATTCCTATCACTTCATAAAACTGGGATTAAACCACTGGAGTCACATGGATTATTTGTGCGATGCCTTTATGAACTTATACCTTTATTTTGGAGCTTAAAAGTTTTGGTTACTTGGACTATAAATGGAGGGACAGGAATCTCCCAGGTTTCATTAAAAATTTCTTAATTTGTGTTCTGAAGATGAACGAAAGTCTTATGGGTCTGGAACGACATGAGGGTGAGTAATTGATGACAGAATTTCATGTTCAACACACGAATCAAAAAGGGCCTTGGCTGAATACACGTAAATAAACCCGTAATTCACCTTTCGACACAACTGTCAAAGCTGCTGTTGCAGAAAAGGAATCAACACATTTTAACCAATCAAAATGGAGAATTCAGCATATAGCTGTGCTATAAAATGTGTTAAATAAGATCAAATCTATACAGTACTGTGACCTTTAAGAACCAGAGGAACTCCTGTGTCCTGTACTCCTTAATTACACACTTTTTACAAAAAGTAAAAAACACAAGGAAGTGCTTAAAAGCCGAAATGTAAATCCTTTATTGAGAGGTTAAAAATGAAGCCCCACATCCCACAGACCCTACCCCAACCCCAAACCATGTCTCACTCTGTAATGCATTAATTCAAGGTGAAACTGCAGTCCACAGTAAAACAGCAAAAACAAACTGCCTGAAACATCCAGCAGGTATATTTCTCCAGTGATATACGACCTGACAGCGTTTTGGCAAATATGTCTAACATACCATTGTACATCGCGGTCTGTGTGCAGGAGAGCAAGTGCAGCAAGCATTCTGAGGACTTGACGTGCACCGGTAATAAAAGAGACACCATGAGAAGTGCATTCATTTACTTTCAGACAAGAACCATCATTTAAAAATGAGCCAGAGGACAAAAATACAGTGACGTAGCGAAGAGCTTCAGGCTACAGAAAAGGACATTTGGAATTCAGACACAAACCCTTGTCTCTGTAGAAACAGCCTCTGACCAGAAACACTTTCCTTAACACGAGCAGCACAACATCTAAAATCTTTCTGGGAAAATAAATCTTTCAGCTGATACAGTAACTGTTTGAGCAGGGAGGAAAAAAAGAGAGGGCAAAGTGACAGAAAAACACTGTTCTATTCAATAATACATTTAAAGGCCGTGTGTGTGTGTGTGTGTGTGTGTGTGTGTGTGTGTGTGTGTGTGTGTGTGTGTAGTGTCAGTATAGCGCACAGCGTGGGCGAGGTGGCAGAGCAGTGTAGGGCGGTAAACAATGTCCTCAGGAAGCAGCTCTCTGTATTCTCTACGTTTTTCATACTCTTCTTTTGGAAACATCTATAATGGGATAATGGTGGGATATGTCAATGAAGTGTTTGTGTTTGACCAATTCAGAGGTGCCAACATTGCTAACAAGAAATTCTTGCAAGCAGAGAGATAGGCTACACAGGCTAATGTCACATCTCTTTCTCTCCCTTCCTTGCACACAATGAATGAGTTTTACAAAAAAAAAAAGCCCTTGTGTATGTCGAGACAGATAATTTTTTTTCCCAAATGTGCACCAAGCAACTGTAAGAAAACAGCAAGACAAAAGTTCTGTGTGACCGCTACAGAATAATAAGAAGCTTCACCATTTCTTAATCTGCCAAAGTCTTGCACAGTCTCATCCACTTCTTTTCAATTGATTCACAAACAGTGTTGATTCACAAACATCTGTTTAAAAAGGCAGCATATTTGTGAAATAAAGTCTTTAAAATATGTCTAAAAAGTCACCAGATCTAGTGACAAAGATCTAACTTGGCAACACTGTTTGAGACTCAATTGAAAAGAAGTGGCTGTAAAAAGCTACACCACATCACCAGATTATGAATAAATCAATTATTTCTTTGATCAATATACTATATTATGTGAGAAATTTATGATGGATTCACCGGTCCAAAGGTGTTGCTGTCAAAGCTGTGGCCATGATGATCGCCCTCGATCCACAGGTGTCCGTCTGGAACTCTCACATAACGGTTTTTATAGCCCATAGTCCT